TATACCCTAGTTTGTTGTGCATTCTTTCCAAAAATCGGAACTTTAAAAAAATGCCATGGAACACGGGACAATTTTTTAAAAATCATGACTGTCCCGCCAAAAGCGGGACATCTGGTCACCTTATGACTTACAGAGAACCCTGATGTCAACTACCATTTTCAACCAGTTCACCAAACTCAACAAAATATTAGGTATTGGTTCTACTGACTGAAACCCACCACTGGATTTACCTATCTTGGATTTCATACAGAAAATAATTTAAAAAACCCAAAACACCAACAAGTAAACAAACCAAAAACAACAACCATGACAAAGCAAAACAAAGTAAAACATCAATTGGGGGAAAAAGCCAAAAATATTAAAAACTGAAACAACTTTAAATTGAGTCAAAAGGGAGTCAAATTGAGTCAAATGACAAGGTGTTAGATTTTTTCTTTTTTTTAAATAAATCATTTTATTGGGGGCTCATACAACTCTTATCACAATCCATACATAAAGGTATTACATTTATAACTTAACTACATCAGCCATAATTGACTTTGCAATACTCTGTTTGATGGTAAGTGTGGTGGTTACATAATCTGGTGTCAATTTGAGGATTAAGGGATGGAGTCTAGCCTGTCAATCAGGATAGAGGCCTCTGTGTGGGCATGGCCTTCTGAGGATTCTGGAAACTCATGTATTTCCTCCTGGGAGGCAGGAGACACCCTCTCTCTTTCTCTCTCTCTCTGCTCAGTCCTTGTGAGACATCCTTGTTGACAAGCCTGATGGAGACAGGCTGATGGCAGTCAGAGCCTCAGAGCTGAAGGAACCACATGGAGACCCCTGCCAGTGCTGAGATGCTTCTACTGCCACTGGATCCACAAGACTTCCCACCCACTGGCCTGTGATCTTCCTGAATTAGGCGTCATCGCATGTGTTCTATGAGTCTGAAGAGGACTTTATAGATTGGTATTGGACATATGGGCTCATATCGGACTTATGGACTTAATCTGGACTGGGCTGAGATGTTTTCTCAATTTTCAACTGCTCTTGTATATGAAGCTCTTCCTTATACACATATGTGTCTCCCTGGATTTGTTTCTCTAGTCTACCCGGACTACCCAGCAAGACTATTCATATCGCTGGACTAAGATTAGAGGGGATTCAACAAAAATGGTATCCACCATGTGGGGACCCTGCAAATGCATGTTGGACTTCCACTGTCATCTATAGCTTTTCCAAACTGAGCGTTCACAATTTAAGCTCTGACATTTTTCCCTCCTTCGGATTTAGATTTCATTGTTTCCAGTCCTCGGATCACACAGGCTGGTGTTTTTTTAATGTGGAATTAGTTGAGGCCTCAACGTGGATGACTGCTTGTTTGAAGACAAGCTTTAAAGACCCCAGGGACTATTCTTTTTTTTTTAATTGTTTTATTAGGAGCTCATACAACTCTTATCACAATCCATGCATAGATCAATTGTGTAAAGCATATTTGTACATTCATTGCTCTCATCATTCTCAAAACATTTCCTCTCAAGTTAAGCCCCTGGTATTAGGTCCTCACTTTTCCCCCTCTCTCCCCGCTCCCCCCTCCCTCATGAACCCTTGATAATGTATAAATTATTATTTTGTCATATCTTGCCCTGTCC